TCATGGCCCACACATACTGTGAGCACATGGGCATCGCTCGCCTGGCCTGTGCCAACATCACTGTCAATATTGTCTATGGGCTGACTGTGGCCCTGCTGGCCATGGGTCTGGATGCCATCCTCATTGCCATTTCCTACGGCTTTATCCTCCATGCTGTCTTCCGCCTTCCATCTCAAGATGCCAGGCACAAGGCTCTGAGTACCTGTGGCTCCCACCTGGGGGTCATCCTGGTCTTCTACATTCCTGCCTTCTTCTCCTTCCTCACCCACCGTTTTGGCCAGCACCGAGTCCCCAAGAATGTGCACATTTTTCTGGCCAACCTGTACGTGCTGGTGCCTCCTGTGCTCAACCCGATCATCTATGGGGCTAGGACCAAGGAGATTCGGAGCCGACTTCTGAGGCTGCTTCACTTGGGAAAAATTTCAACATGAAATTTGAGTACAGGCTAGGGATAAGGAAAGTAAATGGGTTCTGAGCTTTCTAGGTACATTTACATGGATGGAGGCCTCTAATGTGACATAAGCGTGTTTTTAGGAGAGGAAGTAGTGGAAGCAAAGGGAAGGTCAGAAGAATTGGAAACACCAAAAATCACATTGAACACACCACATTCTTGAGGCTCTTTGGGCAATGCTGAATAACTCAGAGAGATGATAATATTTTTACTCTTGGGGAAATTTTACAATTAGGAATAAGCACACCTTGGAGATATCTCAGTAGCTACGATAGTGCCCGTGCAGAATGCTCCTGATTTTTTTTCTTTTCCTGCAAATATTTCCATGACTTACTAAAGATCAAGTTAATTCCTTTTCTTAAATGAGTCTGTGTTTCATAGTGGAAATATTCTTCTGTGAGTCCAAGTTTAAAAAAATGATCATTTTTGGCAAATTCGTCTGATTTCAATGTTTTGGATAGTGATGAAGAGCAAAAAGTCTAAGGTCAGAGTTTCTGGGTGTGAATCCTGGTTCCTCTGCTTACTGTTTTTGTGGTCTTGAGCCTGATGCTAAATCTCTCTATGCCTTGGTTTGTCCAACTGTCAAATGAGTAAATGTTAATATCTAACTGTTAATGCTGTGGTGAGGAATAAGTAAGTTAATGAATGCAGAAAACTTAAGACAGTGCCTGACGTGTAAAATGGTCAACCAATAAATATGAGAACGTTATGTACACTCTGAACTTTATTAGTCAACTTATAACTTATTTAGGATGGTTTTATATTATATCATTTTATAGGATTATTATGATACCTATATCAAATAACAACTCTAAAATATTTAGACAGGTCTTGGGATATGAATAGTGCCTGTTAAAACTGTATTTTCTCCCATTCCTCCTCTGGTCTTCTGTTTTGAAATCCCTTTCCTTTTAGCCATAAAATTATCCCTCATTAAGAATTCAGAGAGGCCTTCTCAAAATCCAAGTGCCTTTTTTAATAGCCCTCCTTTGCCCTAGTAACCTCAGTTCTAAAATACACAAATAAGTCACCAGTTGCTCCTTCCCATAATTCAAAACATGGTTACTATCAGCATCTTTCATTAAGAGCGTATGATTCAGAGAACTTAAAGTGCCAAGATTATGCATCTATATGGACAGTATCTCATACCTTCTTCAGTATGAGATACATGTGAGGATGCCCAGCTGCACAAACACATAGTAGCGAAAGTGAAGACCGATTATCCTCTGAGGCAGTAAATGGTAAAGAGACCCAGTGATGTAATGATCTCAGGAACAAAGAACAATATATACAAAGGAGCGGAAGGTGGGAATGTGGAGGGGAAGTGCTGTTCTGTTCCTGAAATGCTCCTTTGTGGGCCATATGCCTGCTCCCCTAAGATGCTGGCTTCATCTGATCAAAAGGTCTACCTCACAAGGTAACGCTCACCATCACGCTAATTACCTGCCGTGAACCTCACATTTTTCCTAGAAGAAAGAGAGAGTCAGTAACCCAGGAAGTTACTATCAAAGGCAGGGCCAGGATTCAGTACTTTGGACTCCCATAGTAATGTTGAAAATGCATCCATCTGGGGGCTAGACTTACAGTACCACAGAGCTACAGGAGACTGAGGTATTGGTAAGTAAATTTAAGTTCAGGAGTGGACAAATGTGTCCGACATAGTTTGCAGGCTAGCGTTCCCTCGTCTCCCCCAACAAATTCATCAACAATTCTCCCCTTTCATGTCTGAGGTCTCAAGGAAGCTTCGAGGAGAAAGCTTACAGGGGTAGAGTGGAAAATAGAAGAGAAGGGGGGATGCAGGATCACCCAGCTGCTAACACCTTGGTACCGGGGCCGGTCTAGCTACAGCCTGTACTCTGGACGGATACCCTATGGATACACCACTGGGCGTGTCTTCCCCAGGGCTTCCCATTACTGACTGAAGTCCAAGCTTCACACACGATAGATAATAGACAGATGGAGGATTCTACAGCCCTGGCAGCAAGCTCCACTCCTTAAAGTTCTGTTTTTGGCCCTTTTATCATCCTGAAGCTAAAATGTAATAGTTCCCTAGATGGGGAAGGGGATTTGTAGAAGTCCATAGGCTTCTATAAAACTGGAGGTAGCAGGGTCCAGTCCACAGGAAGACTATTAACATTATTGTCAAGATTTCCCACCTCACTCAGGTGTTGACCATGGGACTCCACATGTTAAAAGAGGAGGCATGCTTCCAGAGGCTCGGGATACTGCCTTGCCCATCACTCACACTTCACCCCAGACTCTCACTCTTCCCTGGGACCAAATGTGCATCCCTGATCTCAGAAATTCAGACTAACATCCTGGTGCCACAGGGAAGTGAAGAATAGAGTGAAGTGTATCAGGACCGTTGGTGGGTCATGTGGTCCCAAAGGTATTTTATCCACAGTCCCTGATGGCCACAACCTTCAGGTCTCTAGGTTCATGGGGTGTCACAAAACAATGAAGTCACAGTGTGTAGCTCAGAGATGTCCCTCCTCTCTAGCCCCCAGGAAGCACGAGATTCAGCTGTTTTTCAGCCCAGGGTCAGTTGACCCCTGGAGCTGGCTCTGAATCTATAGTCGCTGGTTTCCCCAAAGTAATGCTTCTAATATGCTTCCTACCTCTCTTTCATCAGCTGTTATCCTGCTGCATGGCTACATATGACCCCTGGTCTTCTGGTCATGCTTCATGTGCCTACACTATGAATCTCCTCACTGACAGATGACAGTTTACAAAGAGAATGAGTGGATTAGGAAAGTATTGGTGACTTTCACTAAGACACAAGGACCCCAGAATTGAGAGTAGGAATGGGGCCCAGGGAAGGATGCTGAGCTCTTTCTGACCATGCCAGCCAGAGGTTCCTCTGTGACACCCAGGGGTAGGCTGGAAAGCTAAGGAAAGTACAAATGGACTAAGATATTAAGGAACCACGAACATGGAAGTAAGAGCCACAGCAAAGGACATGGTCAAATTCCCTGAATGGTGAATGGAGAATCAATCAGTGTAGCATACTCACAGGAATCACCACTCAAAAACAAAAAAAGGATAAGAAAATAGAGTAAATAAAGCAGCTATATGGGTCTGCATATAAGACTCCATACAAAAAAAATAATGGGAAGAGGAGAAATGACTCACTGCGGTAAGTGTCTGATTGCAGAGGATGGGGAAACGTGGGCATTGAAAGAGGAGTTTCAAGAAATTCAGAGACAAAAGGAGAGAGAAGTTCAGTGTCTGATAAGGCAGCAGAGTCAAGTATTTTATGACATAAAGGGAAGAAACCTGCCTGGGGTGGGGGTGGAGGGGCGGGGTGTTCACCTCCTAAAGCAGGATTCTGGCACAGGCAGGCAGGAAAGAGCCAGAGCTGAGAGGGAGGTTGAACAGGTTTTCTGTAATACGGAGACACTGGACCCGAAGATGAAAAGAGAGAGGGGCTTCCCGCGGTGGAGTGGGGGGGGGGGAGGGGGCAGAGCCAGGATTCATTCAGAGTCACTCTGGCGTTGGACCAGAGGTGGCTTGTGACGATGATGGTAATGTTGATAGGGAACCAGGTTGCTGGAAACACTCAGGATTTCCCCACCTCACGTTCAAATTTAGAAAAAGCTCTGAGATTAAGGGTATGAGAGTAGGTGCAGCCCAGACCCAAGACCTGATAGCATGATCAATCTCTCCCCCAAACAATATTTTCTTTGCCTACATACCCCCAAATTGACACCACACATGAGATCCAAGCAATGTTTTTAATGTAGAACAGGCTTGGGCAGTGAGGGAGGGGAGTTGTTCAAGTGTGCACACGATCTAAGTAGGAAGGATTCAAAATAGGCTACTTCCTCTCCCCTCCCTTCCCCCTTCCCTTCCCTCCCTCTCCATGAGGTGGTGCGCTGGGGGCGTCAGCTGGAGGCACCTGGGCTTCCGGTACCCCCAGCATCCTGTCAATGGCAGTATGACTATCTCCGCCTGTGGCCATAAGGGCCTGTAGATTGGCATCCCGATTAGTAAAACCCATGTCCCTCTGATGTTCCAGTTCTCGCTGGTAGAGGCCTTCAGTGAGGGGGGATGAGGGTAGTGAGGATTGAGTGGACTGGAAGCAGGCATTGTCCAGTGCGTGGAGAAGCTGAAGAACAGCCAAGGTGGGTTGTATGGAGTCTGCTCTCTGGCCCTGCCCTCCAGCCCTAGCTTCAGGGCACTGTCTAGTCCCGTGTGGCCTACCCTGGCCCCATAAGTAAGGTCCCAGCCCAGCCACCTCCTTGGACAGTATCTGCAGGCCCTTTTCTATCTGTATCAATGCCTGCAGTGCTCGTGGATTGGTCAGGAGGGAAAGCAGTGGCATGTGATGTCTCAGGGGGCTTCCAGTTGCCAACTGGTGGAGAAGAGCTGGATTCTGCTGCAGGACATGCAAGGTTCTATGCAAGGCAGAGGGTGAGGGTCTAAGCTGACCGGTTAAAGTGGTTTTCCCTGTGGGCTGCTGACCATCCTGAAAGAGAAGATCCTGGCCCAAACTTACATCTGGCATACCAGTCCCGTATCCTGAATTGGCCTGATTTGAGGCCACGCTCCTGGCCTGGGTAACCTCTTCTGCACTGACCTTTTGTGCAAATGGCCTGGCAGGTGCTGAGGCTGTGGGGATGTTGGTAGTAGTGTCAGTACTGCTGTGAGCATTGACCTCCTCTTTATAAAGCTCTGAACTTGGGTTGTGGCCTTTGGAGGCAAGTAATGGGGCCAGAGTGAAGAGCATGAGCTGCTGGATATCAGAGCAGACTGGATGCATAGCATTGTCACCACCTGGCACTGCCTTCAAGGCCTCTAGCCCCCACTTGTCTGCCTGTAGGAGCTGCTGTTGCCGGGCTGGGTTCTGCAAGGTTTCCAGAGCCTTAAGAGCTGGCTCAGATTTCTGTACTGGCCTTGAGGATTCAGGAGCATGGCTGGCATTGGCTGCTTTCTCATTTGCCAGGCCTTGGACCATAGGGTCTTCTGAGAAGACCATTA